AGTCCATCAGTATTCAGTCAGAAACGTGTTCCAAAGTGGACAAAATCCATTATCAGTCCACCGTTACGCATGCGCCGTAAATCAATCGTGGATCAGTCGGAAACTATACTCCGGCCCATGAGAGATCAGTACCGCTATTCGACCAAAACGTGTCCGATTTCGCGCATCTCCCACGTAGCACGCGACGATTGCGGCACATAGTGGGGGAAATCGGGTTTCGCGAGGTCGCTGCTGGTCATTCTGCATGCGCGTGACGGTACTGATCTCTCGTGGGCCGGAGTACAGTACCAAATCTCGTGTTGGAAACAAACCGTTATATAATATTATGTTTTATATAATATACAGTGTTAAAAACTGTGATCTTTGATAAGGCCGCGGGGGAGCTATATTCAACAGCTATATGTAGAACACCAAACATAATTTCAAATAATATAATAATATTAACAAGCCTGATGGGCAAGTTAATATAAACAGTTTTGTAGCTGTTTCGTACATTTATTTAACAGCAATAGTAAACTTTAAAATAAATGTTTTTTGTTTGCAATGAAAAGCAGTTTGTTTTTTGATTTTATACCTGTAAATTTTGATTTAAAAATCGTGCTTATATTTGAAAATGGATATTCGGAATTTAAAAAATCAAATAACTTATCTATTGTTTGGCAAAAAATAATAACTTTGTCACTATCCTTAAACTGCTAATAATTTATATAGTTCTAAATAGGTATAGACAATTCAGAAACAATATTACAGACTCCCAAAATAATATCTTATCACTTATCATATCAGTGAAATGTATAAACAGCCCAACTCTCAGATAACAGTTCGCTGCCATTTTATTGGCAGGCACATATATTTTCCCAAACGGCCGAGTACATAATCAAACAGATCACATAATTATAAGTAAAAGACACGCTGGTTGTATCAGAAAGGTGAAAACTTACAAAAGAGCGGATGCCGACTCTGACCATTATCTACTATTCGCACAATTTAATCTCAGACTTTCAATAAAATAGAATATGGTGAAGAAAGTAACCATCGAAAAAGTAAAATATACAAAAACTAAAGGATCCTGAAGTTCAAAAGAGGTTCGTTAAAAGGGTACAAGAAAATATACAAACAAACCAGAAAAAAAAACACAAACAATGGATTCCATGTGGATCAATCTATAAGAAACAGTGCTAGTAAACATTTAGGTATTGAAAAATAAAAACGGTTGAAGAACTGTTTCAATAACGTGTACTAGGAAACGGTAGATAGTAAAGTAAGTAAAACTAGCAACCTTAAATTGCTTTCTTGAATGCGGATTGATCTACGTAAAGCTTAAACTATGATAGCTTTATACCAACGGTCCTCACTAGGATTATAGAATGGGCCAAATGTAGTTTTCGAAAATTATTAGCGGGCCGCATACATTTTTAATGATAATAATTAAAATTATAAAATTATGTATATTGTGTTATCTGTTAGGAAAGGGTATTGTAAGAAAAAAAACATGAATGACACAAATTTTTTTCTTGGATTTATAATTATAATTTTAAATGTCAATTCATAGTTTATTTTATGTAAAATGCAAATCATTCATATTATTAGCATTGTATATTAAATTTATTAATTTATTAAATTACTAGATTAATATTGATATTTTTTTAATTAAAATTAATTAATTTGATTTAATGTTGTTTTGATGTTGATGGACGGTATCTATCTGTTTCTTTTATAATCTTGTTTATGTCTACGTGTGTATTTGATGTTGACAATAGCGCACTACGTGGTGGAAATGAATAAACTTATAATCGTAGGTGCCTATTATCTGTCCAACTGGTAATTCAATACAAGTTTAAAATAGAAAGATAAAATAAATAAAAATAATAAGATAATAAGCAACGTTCATATTATTCACTGTTTATAGAATTTTGGATTTTAGAATGAACAATTTAATTTTAGTGCGGGCCTCACTCAAGTTGCTAAAGGACCGCATGAGGCCCGCGGGCTGCGTAGTGGGGACCACTGCTTTAGACACTTGAAATTTTAAGTGTCTTAATCATCTTTACCTTCTTATCCATGCAAGGTATGAAATGATTTTTTAGAATTTGTATTTTAAAATGGTGCTCACGCATGGTTTTTGAGATTTACAATGGAAACCATAATGCGAAAGCTACTTGACTGATTTTGTGAACATTTCAAATTGTTCTTATACAGATATCAGGGAAGTTAGGGAGTAGTTTGAATCATCTTCGATTCATACCAAGTATACTATGTCCATCTACAACCTGTGAGGCTGTAAATTATCCATCTGATGGATGGTTTTCACTACAAGTTATATTAATAGACTTTGAAATGTGCAGAGGGCTTATAGTTTTTTTTCAACCCTTTATGGCTTTATGTAAATAAATGAGTAGCTCTTTTCAGCTCACGGAAACAAGTTTTTTTTATTTAAATGGTTGTCAATGATAACATTATGTTAATATATCATTTAACTATATTATTAGTAAAAATATAGCGTATACATTTTCCTACAAATATGTTGTATAAAAAAAATAAATATTTTTATATCTAACCTAAAGTCATACCTGTAAAATATTTAAATATTAGCTAATTATGACCTTCGATATGCTTTTCCAAATTTATTTATGATTTACAAAGAACGCAGTACAATTAGCTTCTACAGAAAAAAGCGCTTTTCAAAGGTGAATTGATATTTTAAAAATGCAAAAAACTATTTTATAATTTATTATGCGTTACTATATAACGCTCAATATTCGCTCGTAATGCTTTTAAAATAAAATTTCAAAATTACAGATGTGGTTTTGATGCACACTGCATTGCTTTCAAGAGCCAGCTGCGCGATGTTTTCTATTATATATATGCTTTTCATGTATTATATATTTATTTATAATTTAGTTTATTGTACGTAGCTCTGTCACGTGTCACATGCAAACAAAATCTATTTGTGCTGGCCCTAGAAGCGAGACACTTAAAGTGGTGTACCCAGAAATATTTAATGCTTAAGACAAATTTATATAATTGACAAAAAAATAAAAATCATACCATTCCACACTTATGTATAAAATTATACTAAAAAATTTAATCAAATTAAATATCTTATATAATTCATATCAAACTCTTCACATATTCCTAAACATATGTACATTTACTGAAAAAATGCAAAGCATTGCCGGGTCAGCAAGTATAATTATACAATTATTAATTAAAAACGAAATAAAATCATTACGAGGTCTCACCGTGAGTTAACAACCGGCAATGAATTTAGATTTAATTGTTTAGTGTATTGAACTATTTCTTTGAAATATATCGCAATATTATTAAATATAATTTATTATAGATAAAAGTAATAAAAGTGAATATCCGTCAACTTTATTGTTTCGAGCCGATATCGCGATATTTCGATAATTATTTTTAGATAACGATATCGAAATTATGCGGAAAATGCCCACGATATAGACATCATATCGAATTATCGATACGTTGGCCAACACTAATATTTATATGCGAGTCAGAATTAGAAGTTTTATTGCATTTTTTGATTATTTTTAATTTTTAGAGGATTCAACACTAATGTTCTTTTGCAGAAAAATCCACCTATACACGTTCCAATGCACTAACTTGAGTTGAACACCAATAATAATTTTGAAAATAGATTTCGTTTAGTTGTTAATTCAATTTTAAATCCTTCAAGCCACATTTTAGGTTCATCGTTCATAAGTAAAAAACGTATCATTGAATTCAAATTTAACACATCCATTACTGCAGTCAGGTGTACATGTGTACAGCACAGCGGTACCCACGACTGGCCTGTTTTTTTTAATTTATAGTCCTTTGTGATATTATTAGTTCTCCCATACCCACGTTTTGCGTTATTATGAAGTTTCTATATAAATTCAGAGCGAGAACATAATATAGGTTCCTTTTTCGTTTGAATACCTAATTAAGTTATTATAGATTTGTATAATATGTTAGTCTAGTGGCGTGGCGTGTGTTGTGACTTACCCCCCCCCCCAACTCACCAAAGTTTATTTAGTTATGATTTTTAAATTTTTTTTTAACATCTAAATAAAATAAAATATTTTATTTCTATATCAAATCGATTCTTCTTTTTTTTTTGTGAAATCATCAGTTACATCGCCACGGCATTTGATCCAACTGATTTTAATTGTATTTTTTTAATACTGTTAAAATTGTAATTACCTGAAGAACCCATTTTTTTAAAAAATAGGTTTATTATAAAAACGTAGAGCTATACAGACGCTCGACGCATTTGTGTTCGATTATGACTTATGAGAGATGCTTACCAACTGTGTGATATACGTCCCTTCCTATGGCGCTTTGCCTATCACTTTATAGGCTCTCTTAAGCAGTTTCGATTCGCATTGCATATTTAAAGTATGACGATGAGCGACGGTGTTGGGTGGTGGGTCGGCGGCCTGTATACCCTACCAGGCCGCATATAAGCAAAGCGTACATTGTTAGAGAACCCAATGAAAATGCTGTTCTACGATTGGCTCTAATCCCAATGAGATAACGACTTCGCTATCAATTATCAGATTCTGTTCTGATTTTCTGAGGTTTGAATGTTTCTATAGACTAGACCATAGACATACCAATGTTTATTTGTATATGGACTACATCCATTTAGCATTAACCCATTTCCAAGAGTGTCATATTATGTAATGCAATAGGTATATAAATATACCTAGCAAATAAATATATCAATTTTAAATTTAATATCAAATTTTTATTTCAGGATAAAACATTGTTTCAAACAAAATATGTTGGTTGTGTCAACTAAAAATAAAAAATAATAGAAATAATTGTCTGTAAAAATCAAAGAATAAATAAATATAAAAAAAGAATTAAAAATTCAAGTCCTTTAGGTAATTATTAAAAAAAAAATAATTGTTATTCATATCGACAAATAATATAACATATTGTACCACTGATCAATCTGCAAAAATCAAAAAAAATAAATTTATATATATTAAATAATAGTTAAAATATTTGTCCTTAAAAAAAATACATATATATATATATATACATATATTACGTCTATTAATAGTGTAAAATATATTCATATTGAATATTACAACTTTAAAAAGGTCCATGACTTTTAGCATTTGTTTGGTTTAAGTTTATGTTCAACCCTAGGTTTCGTTTTTTTCTTTTCCCCATAGTCTTTTCTCCTGATGGAGGTCGGCCTGCTAATAATCGTTTACTGCCTTTTGTGACTTTTGCAGACCTCCTTGCGATTGACGTTGGTTGAACTTTTATCATAGCACCATCTCTTCTTTTTAATGCAACCTGTTTACCAGCAGTGTGTAAAAAAGTTTCCCATTGTCCTTCGGTTTTAATTTTTTTTAGACGTTCTTCTAATTTCAAAATACCACTTGAAGATGAACCAAAATTTTCATGACAATTATTCATCATTTTTAATAAATTTTCAAACATCGTTTTTTTATCTGCATCATCATCATTTTCAATTCTAGATGTGCTAGGTCTATTTTCTTCAGTATTACAGCTTTCATTACATAGTACATTATTTTCAACTTCTTTAATAGTTTCAATTTCGACATAATTAATTGGACCATTATTTTCTTTTAAGAATGGTTCATAAAATGATTCATCCAAAACTTTATCTCCATATGCAATTTTAGCTATGTTGAATCGATCTGTGGGAGTTATAACTGGACAATATTCAGACTTAACACCAAAATATTTATAAACCGCACATTGGTGTTTACAAAATGTTCCAGTTAGAGCAGCTGAACAAGAACAAAGTCCACTGTTAGTGTCAACATAGTACATTAAGCCACTTTCTTCTTCACTCGGAACTAAAAACTCGTCATCACTTTCTTGAATAATCATTTCTTTTTTTAAATAAGTAGTTTTTTTAATCATTTTTTGTAGAAATAACCTGGACGATGAATTTCTACTGTCTGAAAATTCCCTTAATCTATGTTTGTAATAGTTTTCTAAGGCAGTACATGTTAAATCAATTAGAGCTAAAACATTATAAGCCTTTACCCTACATAATACATGGTCTTTGAACAGCCTTACAGCGACCTCACAATAGTTATTTGTGACATGACCTCTTGAAGTGTGATCTCTAAAACATAAACACCATTTTTGTCTATAACTCCAATAATTTTGAATATAGCTTATCCAATTTGGACAGTCGAGATTTTTTTCAGTTGACTTTAAATAAGCATGTTCTGCATCAACGATTGATTCAGAGTACAAGATGGTTCGAAATTCTTTTATAAGTATTTTACGTTTTTCCAATGGTATATTATGTTTCGAATCCCACAACCAACGCCAAACAGCCTGTAGAACATGAAATACACAAAGTAATGTAGAACTTTTTGGCCAAATATAGTTAATAGCATTAATTTCTGCTGCACTTTGGTCTGTGATAAAAATATTAGGAAATCCCTGACCACAAAAGCTTTCAGGAACAGCTTCTTTTAATAATGAAAATCCTTGACAGTAAGATTCATATGTTTGACCTTTCGTAACTATTATTGCCAAAGGAATAGCTCCAGCTGCACTGGGACACATAATAAAAGTTATGGCATGGTTTAATGGATCACATGCACTGGTGCTATCAACAAATATAATTTCTTTTGCAAAATTTAACTGGTGAGCTCTTTTCATGATTGGTGTAATTATAATTATACCAAATGGGTTTTCTCTAAATAAAACTGTGGTGCCACTTTCTTCATATACCTTCTGTTTTTCTTTAATTTTCTAAAAAAATGTATGTTTATTAGTTTCCAACAATAAATTGATCAATAAAATGTTTAAATGACTTACCTCAATTAATCCATCACCAGTACGAGGACCCAAGTTCAAATCTCTCCAAATGTCGTGCCAATGACGAATTGTACGGTAACAGGGATTTATGCAACCATTAGCTAATGTTTCTAGTTTAAAATCTTCTTTCAACTCTAACAATTGTTCGTGATATTTTTGAGCTTCAGCTATACCCATACCATTGTCAAAATACTCAAAAAACAAATTTTTTACATCATTATTAGCTGGTAAATATCTAAGGCTTTCTGCTGTGTTGATGCTATGTGTATGGTTGTTATAAATTTTTATACAACCCATTAAACCTTTCTGTAAGAAGCAATAATAGTTTTAATTTATCAATAAGAAACAATAATTTATGTATAATATTATTTTAAATATTGAAAACTTATTAATATAATAACAAAGTACCCAATTTTTTACAATGCTGTATACAATTGTACATTTATACTGTAAAAGCAACAAAAAGTAACATAATGCAATAGAACATAAAGACTACTGTCTCCCTGATGGATGTACACCATTCAATGAGTCTTCAGCCGAGTTCTTGCTCAAATGTACATTATAATTTATAAATTATCACTACAAACATATTAATTATTGTTTTGACCACCTTCCTTGTTGACCCAATGGAAGACTATCCAAAGTCAAAGTCTGTCGAGTTAATGAACAAATCTGAATAAAAACATATTATAACTTATAAGTTATAACAAAAAATAAGTACATGCTTAGACATACAGTGATCTACTTGCATGGCATACAGAGAAAACAAACATACTTACCCTATTTTTACACTTTTTTTATAAAAATATATAAACTCTGATTTTTGGAATTTTTAAATTTATTTGAAACCCATATTTTGAAATACAGGAAATTTTTTCTACCCGTACTTTTTTTATTGATTTTGTGACAATACAAACTTTTGTTTTTTCAAATAAGACACTCCCTAGTCCCTATCCCCTTTTACTTTTAATTATTCAGCAGATGTTATGTTTTAAAAATTCTGATGTATTTAAATCAAAATTTAAAAGATTACTTTTTGAGTTACATAAATTTGTGCTTTGTGCACTAAGGATAATAAGTCTATGGTAATGGGTTAAGTAGATATGGGGGCTTAGATGATTTGTAAAACTGATCAAGTACAATAAAAACCACATCTAATAAAACATAAAGTTTGTATTTTTGTAAAACCATATTTAAAGATTATTATCCTATGTATAAACATTTTAATAACTACTTATTAGAACTTTTATCTAGATACATCCACATTTTCAAGAAAATTACCTGCTAAATAATTTACAGTAAAAAAGGGGGGTTCATACAAACATGTAATTACACAAAAAATCACCAACTCCAAAAAAATTCCTAAAACACAAATCAAAACATTCATTATACCAGCCAAATATATACATATATATTATATATTGCTTATACTACCTTTATAAATGGGTCTTTTTTTTTGGTTGCAGTAGTATTAAGTTTTATTGTTATATCAATTGTAGCTGGGCAATTCGCATTTTTAGATAATCCTTTTTTATTCACATCTGGTTTTTTAAAACTACTATGTTGGCACACAAACTTTTTACTAAATGGAAATAATTATTCATTTTAATAGGTACGTATTATAATATTTGAGGAAAAGACCTTACGAGCACACAATTCGTTGGCCATTCGGAATACTGGAGCGATAGTTCCAATGAGTAAAATTCAACTCCCCAAATTCAGAAACCCAATTATTAATATCTTCCATACATTTTAGGTTTGAACGGATGTTAAAGGTATTCCCAATTTCTCCAACAATTTCATTTGTATATTTTGTTGGAAATATCATTTTCGGTTTTTATTAATTTAAATTAAATTATTTAAAGTTAAAAGTTAAAACGTCTTAACAACATTCAAAATTCAGAACAAAACTTGATAACTGATAACAGATAATTGATAATTCAGGTCGTTATCTCATTGGGATTAGAGCCAATCGTAGAACAGCATTTTCATTGGGTTCTCTAACAATGTACGCTTTGCTTATATGCTACCAGCATAGGCCTACCGTACCATTGTGTTACCCATCTTAAAAATAACTGATAGATTTTTTAAAATCAATTATTTGACTTAATTTTAATCAAAAAAACTTTTTTTTTCACGTGTAAGCATGTGCGCTTCGCCCCTGGTCTAATGTCTTAATATTTTTTAGTCGGGATTCGCCCACATACATGTGACAAATCATCTAGGTTTTCAATAAACCAATACTACTACACTAAATTATTTTTGATTAAAATTAGTACTACCCAGCAGCAGTAGGTAAAATATAGGAAAAATGTTATGCACTCTGTTTTTCTAAAAAAATATAGGTAAGAAGGTCCAAGGATGGTATATTAACCATAGTTTATTACTTGACATGTAGGTACTTACCCGTTACCGCAACTTTATAAATTATAATATTAATATATATGTATGTAAATTATAAATAGTGCATGTAATCAAAATTTTCTGGAAATAGATATCTATTTCATATGATCTTTGGTTATGACATACCAGTCGTTTTTTAAGTGGAAACTACTATTTTACATTTAAGAAATTAGCTTTTCGTGAAAATATGGTCATCAAAAAATATTTTTATCCAAAGTTGAAAAAATATTCTAGAAATCTGTATAATGTATAAAAATTAATGTTTGTTCGCTTGCTTATTTTCTATGTACTCAAAAACTAATAAACAGTTTTTATTAAAAGTTATATGAATCGATTCCTGTAGCTTATTTTTTGTCCCCTACAAGTTGCTATATAGGCTGGTTAACTATGGCTGGCTAACAGATGAATTTACTTTGGCTCAAGTAAATCGAATATATTTTTGTTTATTTAAGTGGCTGTCATTGATTACCAATTAAATTACTATTATAATTATAAGTAAAAATATGATAGGTATGTGAACATGTTTACAATTTGTTTAAATTTACAATGATTACTTTTACGTTTTGCAATCAATTTTTGTTTTCTTATACTGTATTTACGTCGGCTTTTAAGCATTCGTTGAATTTGTCTTCAATTTGTTGTGTTTACATAGGCGAGCGAACGGGGTATGCAGGGTATGCCCTCGCATACCCAGCGGCCAGATGCGGGGGCATATGAACAATGTCTCAGTTCATAATTTTGAATTATACAATTTGAGTTATAAAATGGTAACGCGATATCGATATGGAGTATGGGCGTGTTTTGAGAGTCATTTTGGACGGTTCTCAATAATAGGAAATATGGGTTTTATTTTTAGTGTAGGTAGGTATTTACTTTTTATATTTTCCTAGAAATGACGATGATTATTTATATCGTGACATTATTTAACTTACGGATGTCTAAATACCACGGTTTAAGATATACCTACCTTTAATATATCTAAATACATTTTTAACCGTGCTAAATACTGATAATATTAATATAATATAAATATAATATAATATATTATGTTTATAATAGTTGAGTAGTTTATACTATAGAATATAATAGACGCGACAGTCAAATTTGATAAAAATATCTTTACCACGCGTTTGTAATCAAATTGCCTATCCACCCATTCAGGGCCGTAACTACGGGGGGGGGAGGGGTTCAACCCCCCCCCCCTTTTGAAAAATAGAAAATTTAAAAATTTCTAGTTTATTCTAAAATTTAAAAAAAAAATTTTAAACCATTTTTTTTTTTAACTGAATAAATAATAAATACTTTATACATCTATATTATGATCGATTTATGAATGTATATATTTATAGTATAGTGCTCAAGGTGGCAAGGTGTATGATAGCGTAAACGTATCTTCTCGTCGAATTACGGAGCCTTTTGTACACGTAGAACGGTCATAACTCATAGATAGAGGGCACTTTTCGTGTGTGACTTGTGACTGCACAATATTAATATTATATATTATATTTATATAAATATAATATATATACAATAATATAATTATAATATATACTATACTGACATATTGTGAATTTTTTTTTTTTTCCCGTTTGAACCGACAGCAGAGGAGGATCTGTGTGAACACTACTACTCCTAACATATTGTGAATTACTGCAGTATGTTTGACCGGTGTTACTACAACAGCTACTCTATAGGCAAGGCCAGTCTATTAATAAAACGATTTATGGTGTTCCCGGTTAAACTGATATCACTGATATAACAGTCACAATTTTGTATTATGTGTTACACACTTACACACTATACGTCTATACAGTGTAATATTTAATATTGTGTTGCCGCTTGTGAGACGTTTTTACTTTTACTGTGAATTATGATGTGTAACTGAATTTTCAATTTTCAATTTTAATACCTACATTCATTATTTGTAATTCATTTTGTTTTAAAATATGGATCGCTACTTAATTAAAAAAAGACCCAACGAAATGGTTAGGTTTATCCTCTATAAAATTTCTATCTATGGAACTGAACCTCCCCATAGAAAATTCTTAGCTACGGCCCTGCACCCATTGGAGAGAAGGCTTGAATTACAACAATTATGTATAATGTTTAGAATTGTTTATTTAAACATTTTTGTAAAAAAAAAATACTTTTAATCGAAAAAAGATGAAAAACCTATTTTTTCTCATATAAAGTAGTGACCATAAGTTTATAGTACAAAGTCATGAACATTAATTTTATATCGGGGGGGGGGTACATTTTATCAACCGCATACTCTGCGAACAAAGTCTGCGCACGCCTATGTGTGTTTATATATACCACTTTGTTCAGAATAATTCTGAGTATGTCTTAATTATTAAGACACGTCCAATCATAAAATTAATCATTGTATTTGTGTTTGTATTCTATGTCTTAACTGAAGCAAAAAGGAAAACTATAAAAAGATAGATTTACTTTAACCCGGTAAAAGTTCAGCTAGTATATTTTATGAATTATGTTTTTTTTTTTTTTATTTAATGAGATTTTAATATTAAATTATGATATCTGGACAATTACAATTTATATAAGTACATGCTATTTGTAAAGCTCACACTATTAAATTTGTGGGCCTGATTGTCTTATAAAATTTAGTATGTGTATAATTAGCTTAATATTGTTGGTTGAGAGGGCGTTAGTAAGGGAAAATTTAAACCGAAGGTGGAAAAGAGACTTTTTAACCGACATCTTTGGATTGAGAGAGAAGGGCAATTCAAGAGTAGGTGTTGGAAATCACAGTAATCACTACCGCAGTTGGGTAGGGGACAATACATACTGCTGTTGAGTCTCAATTTAAAAGAATGGTGTGGTTGTAGGCTGTGGCCGGTGCGTAATCTGGTGAATTTGGTTATGGCTGCGCGGCTCATACACATGTTTTAATTGCAACCAGGATATCAAAGAATAGTGGTCCCCTGACGTGGTTAGAACGTTTCCTATAAAATTATATATTATACAATGCGTTACGAAGAGAAGTTACTGGCCGACGTCATTATACGATAGTATTTTTATACCTTAATATTTATGAAAAACCCCTTTGAATGAAAGGGGTTCTAACCCTTTTATTTTTTTAATAAGGGAAATTAAAATTTTTTATAAACAAAACTGAACCTACTTTACAAATGCTGATATATCATCAAAACTTTATAACTTTTCATAGTTATTCTTTTTTAGATTCTGAGCGGAGCGATGAATGTATTGATTTTACAATGATGAGTGTTTTTATATTTATTTTTTTTTTGGGGTGTCTGTCAACACGGTTTCTTGCAGTGAAAGTGCTTCGATTTTCTGAAATAGGTAGCATCGTTTCTGGTAGGAAAGTGAATTTAGTCGGTGCATTCGGGAGGTCAAAATTTGAAATTCCCAATAGTTTTCAAAAGCAACAGGAAAAACAAACAATAAAGTAAGGAGAACGGAAAATTTTCGCATAACCATTTTTTCAAAAAATTGGTTTTTTCATATTTAGTGTAACTCTAGTAAAAATGACCGTAAATACATGAAGTTTTTACTGAATATTTGTGTGAGCATTAATGTAGTCATTTGAAGCAATTTAAAAGATCTTTAGACATTTGAAATGTACACCAAATGTTTATTTCACCAATTCATATATACTTCATAGAATTAATTCAAAATATTTTGACTCGTTTTAAGCTGTTGACAGACATTTTCAATTTTCATATTTTTTTCATAAATATCAAATTTAAAATTTAAAATGATTTTGTAGTTAAAAATGTATCTTAATTTTTAATTTTTATAGCTAAAGATTGAACATTTTAAACAAGGTTCTGCTTAAGCAGTTTTTTCCACAACTAAGAAATCTAAAAATATATATGAATAGTTATTTTTTACAGATATTTTTAGTTTAAATTTGAAAAAAATTGCACATCAACACAAAGAATAACGTTTATCATTTTGTTATTCTGTTCCAAAACTGCCCAATTTTACATTTTTTTATTTGATCTATGATTATAATTTGTACACTCCTGGTTCAATAGTTTAAGTCAGTGATACCACACTCAAATAGCTTTAAAATTAAAAAAAAGCGGGTAAGTGGACGTTGATCTGCTGTACAGTGTACATTAAGTATATATTATAATGTAGACCGTTCAGGTACTTCGCCGCAACTACCACTTCTCTCCATCTATCTCTGTCCGTGGTTAGCTCTTCGCCGTTCAAAATTCCCAGCATATCGAAGTCTTTATGGAGGGTCTACGCATCTTTGTCTGGAGGCCGAGTGGTCTTTTGCTCTTCGGCTTCCAGTAGGTGAGAGGTGACTTGACCAATTATCTGCTCTAGGCCTCGCCATACATGCCCTGCCCAGCTTATCCTTTTGCTTTTCATAGTAGCTATATTATGTCCGGATCCTCTGACATGTTTATCACCTCTTCATTCTTTCTTCGCTCATATTCTCTCGTGTTTTGGTTTCTTCCGGGACCAAAAATTTGCCGTAACACCTTTCTTTCAAATCTTGCTAGGTTTTGCTCGTCTGTTTTGGTCGTGGCCCAGGGTTATATTGCTATAACTTATTTTTATTACTGGTTTCAAAGAATTGGCGAGGACTGTACATTATATGAGTTTAGGTTAGTAACAAAGTAATAATATAGGAATATAAAATATTCCTTTTTCTTGAAAACATTAATTGTTGCCCGGGCGTATTGTATAGGCAAAATATGGACATTACCGCAGTGTTCAATAATCGATGGCCATCATTGCATTTTAGCTTATTGGCATTTGGGTGTTTCGTGTATGATACGTATGACGCATACGTGTAATGTGAATCTGATACTATGTACACAGTCAAATATGAGAATATTCAAACATAACGTGAAGTCGATAAGATGACAATATAATTTAAACAATAATACACTTTTTCAACTGTCTACGAAAACTATTATTTGCATTACAACAGAAATAGTTTTAGGTAAAATCATAAAATAGTGATAAGGATACGGCGATACGCTGAACATTAAAGAATTATATGACAGACGAAATATAGTATCTATAGCAGTTATTCGTTATTAGTTAGGTACATTTTCATTTTGTTGTTCAATATTAAAAAAGCGGGTAAGTGGATGTCGCTCTGCTGTATATTAGGTGTCTAGGAGGAGGTCGCTGTAATAGATGGTATTAAATTTGAATAAAAACGATTCTGAGCGAAGACGGTATGTCAGTTTAGGATATTTTTGGTTGTTATAACTTTTTATTAATATGGTAGACACTAGACTGTAAGTATTGAATTAATATTATTCTTAAATTATCAGTGATGCTGGAAAAATATTAAATATACCTATGTAAAATTGGGTTGTTTTGGAACCGAATTACAATAAAATGATAAACGTTATTCCTTGTGTTAATATGCAATTTTATCCACATTTAAACTTAAAATGTCTGTAAAAAATAACTGTTATCATATATTTTATAAATTTATTAGTTATGGAAAAAACTGCTTAAGTATAACCTTGTTTTACATTTTCAATTCTTAGCTATAAAAATTGAACATTTTATACATTTTTAAATACAAAATCATTTTAAATTTTCAACTTCATAAATATTATCAACATTTGAACTTTAAATGCTTATAAATAAAGTCGCGCCTATGTATTTTTTATATTTTTCAACTGCTATCGTAACAAGTTATCAAGTGTCTTGCATTACATTTTCATGTTTTTTGACCCAACCAATACAATTTTATTGACATTTAAAGAAGAAAAAAGGAAATTGGAAATGTCCTTCGACAGTCTAAAAAGAGTCGAAATATTTTGAACTTTTTATCAAGTATATGAGTTGATGAAATACACATTTGATGTACATTTCAATTGTTTACAGTAATTCGTTTTTGAATTACAACAAAATAAGAAAATCACTACAAGAGAAATCGAGTGAATAACCAATGTTGTAAAAATGTCAACTTCAAACGCTCAAAAAAATTTAATTTGACTTTCCGAAAGAAATTTTTTTTGAAAAAAGTAGACAAACTTGTAAGGAATC